CCGGGGGGGGGGGCGGCTTCTTAGCCGTCCCTCTCCGGCTCTGGAATCAATTCCCTCCTACTATCTGCCCAGCCCCCTCGCTGGCAATTTCCAAAAACGCTTTTAAAAACCGGGGCTGTCTCGACAGCCCTTTGACTCTGGCTCACCCATGGAAACTCGTGAAGCTGTTCGCCAGGAAACCCCGAAGGACGCCACTTTAAATGCTCAAATGCTTTAGTGCTGCTGTATTTTTAAAGATGATTTATTACGCTGCATTATTTTTTATACCAGTATTGCTGTTTTATGGTCTGTTCTGTCTTGTGTTTCGTGGTCAACCACCCGGAGTGGCCTCTGGTTAGATGGGCGGTATATAAATCAGACCAACCGACTGACCACATCTCCACCAGAAACTGTTCACAACATCCTGCATCCCACATGGGGGGGCGTCCACACGGGCTAAACAGTCCACCCCCTCCTTGGGTCACCATATGAGCCCTACGTCTCAAAAGCCACTTGTTCAAAAACTGGAAGCTGTAAAAAAAACACAGCAGGCTCCTTTCCCCAATGGACCCCTTCTTCTGGAATAATTGCTTTTTTGCTCTTTGCAGACTGTTCCATAGCTTCACAGTTTTAAAGTGCTACAGGGCAACAATACCACAGTGCTAAAGTTCGCCTAAATTCACCGAGGACCAAAAAAAGGTGCGGAAAGGGATGGGCAGAGGTGCTCAACCAGGACTAGCCTAACGGCGTCCGGATGGCTGGGAAAACGTCAACAGCCCGGCCCTGCGAACAGGGCCCCCTTCTCAAGCTCTGGATCTCGCCACTAGTGGCATAGAAGCCTTGCTCTCAAGAACTGGGGGGAAGCCCAGACCGACTTACGTCCAAGAGAGCCATTTCCGGATGGTCTTCGCCAAACACCAACAGCATGAGGTAGCGTGCGCGATACAGCAAGTTGAGCGCGGTGGACAGCTGGCTGTTGGCGAAGCAGTAGAGCGCCAGGTGCATCTGCAAAACAAAGTTACGCCCGTTGATCCCAACGGCCGGCAACGCCTTCCTTGGCTCACCCACAAAGTCAACACCCCCACCCCGACTTTTCCTCTCTAGCGCCACCCTTTGGCCAAGAGAGGCTCAGGGGGCAGGCTCTACCCGGTGTCGGGTAGCAAAGGCGGTGCGTTTCGGACCAAGCCACCGAGACAAAACCCACCGGCCTGCTATTGACTGGAGATGTTTCAAGGCAACAGTGGGACGGTCTGCATGCAACCAGTATATAACCCCCCCACAAAAGGGG